GAAAAAATCGATAAATAATTTTTCTTTTTTTGCGGTAAATCCGAGAAATTTTTTTTTGCATGTAATAATTATTATTTCAGTGCACAAACCAGTTTCCACTGGACTGAGTTGAACTTTATACGCAAGGAAGGCGACATTCACGGGCCATTAACCCCATGATGACTGTTAACGCGCCCAAAAAGCGATCTGGTTCAAAAACTTGTAGTCACCTATGCTTTAAATGGGGGTTATTTTTAAGCTACATACATACCACTCTCTTAATTTATTGCTTTATTATTACGCCTTATGGGGCGCTTCAAAATTACAATACACGAACCATTAACGCACTGCCGGGCGCAAAAAAAAAATGAAATAAAAAAAAGTGCGTGTCAATTGCAGTACTGATTTAAGACGTCATTAAAATATGCTTTAGTTTGTCAAATACTCTGAAAAACATTTTGTCGTACAATAAGAATTTTAATTAATTTTTCTTCAACAGATATATAATATAAACAATAAATAACATAAAAATTATCACGAATTATGAAAAAAAACTTCAATTTTTTCTATTCCTGACAATAATTTTGTCTTTCAATAACTCAACTCTTGAGGAAATATATCATAAAATTATTACTTATAAATTATTTAATGAATAATTTTACTCAAATATTTCTGAATTAATTAAATTTTAAATTAAATTTTAATTCGTAAATTTATTAGTTATAAATTATTTAATGAATAATTTTAGTTAAATATTTCAAAATTAATTAAATTTTAAAATAGTTGTTAAAAGTTAAAAGAGCTGCGTTTAAAATTTTCATAAATAGCTGAAGGTTTTAATTTGAAATTTTAGAAAATTTCTATTTTGAATACATTTAATTTGAAATTTTAAAGAACTTAGATTTTTGAAAAATTCCAATAAATTAAAATTCTTCTGAAATTAGTTTAATCTTTAAATATATATTTAATTAATTATTAAAAATAATGGAGTTTTAAAAGAATTTTAGTTAAAACTATACTAAAAAAAAAATTGAATTTTGGAGAAGTTTGCAAAAAATTGCAGAAAATCAATTATTTTCAAAAATAATAAAATTCTTCGCAAAAATTCAATTATATTCGAAAATTTTTAAAAATTATCGTCAAAATTTCAATTATCTTTATAAATAATAAATTTTTTTTTCAAAATTCAAAAATTTTAATAAAATTCTTAGCAAAATTTCAATTATTTTCAAAATTCAAAATTATTATCCTCAATCAATGATTTTTAATATCTAGGTACTATTTTCATAAAATTTTTCAAAACAATTCAATTATTTAAAAAAATATTTTGATAAAATTCTACAAGCAAATATTTAGGAATTGATATCACAAATAATAAAAATTTCACAGGAATTCAATTATTTACAAATTTTTTTTATAAATTTCTTCACAATAATTCAAATATTTTCAAAAATTTTTCTCAATTCCAATATTTTCAATAATCTATTATTTTAATAAGATTCTATGCAAGCATTTAATTATTTTTATAAATAATAAAATTCTTTTTAGAAATTTCAATTATTTTTATATATAATAAAATTCTTTTTAGAAATTTCAATTATTTTTATATATAATAAAATTCTTTTTAGAAATTTCAATTATTTTTATAAATAATAAAATTCTTTTTGAGAATTCACTTATTTTCATGAATAATAAAATTCATCGCAGAATTCCAATAACTTAATTATTTTTAGTAAAATTTTAATTGAATTCCTCGAAAAGTATAATTATTCTTAAAATTTTTTTCAATATTCATCAAAAGAATTCAATTATTTAAAAATTTGTTAATAAAATTCTTTATGAGAATTCAATTTTAAGAAAAATTATTTATTTTTGTAGGTATTTAAATAATTGAATTCTCATAGAATTTTCTAATAAAATTTCATTTAAAATAGAATTTCATTTTTTTTTTAAATTTTAGATAATAATTGAATATTAAAAGCATTATTGCATGAAGTTTTAGAAATAATTGAATATTGAAAATCTGAATTTTTTCATACTTTTAATTAACAATTCTGTAGAATTATTAATGTTTTTGAAAAAGTTTAATTGAATTTTTTTTTCAGTTATTTGAAGTTTTTATTTCCTAATGTATATTTGATTGAAGAAGTTCCAAATAATAGAAATTTTGTAAAATTAAATTGTAAACAATTGTATTTGAAAATTCTCTAAGAACTTATTTAAAAATTATAAAAAAAATAATTTATTTAAAGAAGAATTTTATTTAAATATTCTAGAAAATAATAATTGAATTGAAATGATGAAAATTATTTTGAAGAAGTTTTTTTAATCATTTTTAGAGTGAATCACAGAATGTTCTTGAAAGTGAGGGAAAAAGGCAAAATTTTTTCTGGAAATCAGGGAAAAACAAATTTTTGTGTCAACCCTGAAATTGTTATCCGAAAAAAGTCTAAATTTAATTAATTTCAAAATTCCTTATGGTATTTTTCTCACTTTTACCCTTGAAAAAATCGATTTTGATAAAATATTTTTCAAATTTTTAGTAAATTTTCCTTTATACTGGCCTTCCGACTAAAATTTTAGAACCCTTTCCAGTATCGAATTTTAAATATTTGGATTTAAATATTAAATTCATGTCAAAATAAATTTTGAACTCCTTATGTTCTTAACAGTAATTGTTTCATAAGTTTTAATTTTTGGTCCGTGAAGTCTTTATTTTTAAATACTCTCACTTGGTTCAAAAGCCCTGGCTGTTCTAGATAAATTTTCCCTTTTCCGAGTTCAAGTATACCAATTGTTATAGTTAAAAAAAATTTCATACTTTTGTTATTGTTATTAACGAACGACGATTAAGCAGTGGTAGTTTAAAGATAACGAGAATTTAGGGTTGGAACCTAATTTAAACGTTGGTTAGAAAAACCGATTCGAGTTTAATGGTCCGGCAGACCGCTCTTGTGAAATGCACAATCCGAATTGTGAAGGGTTTTTTCGATGTCTCTCTCTCTCTCTCGTCTCAATTCGTGCGAATCAACTTGAAGAGTATGTATATATGGGCACAACACAAAAGGATCTCGAGAGTCCTCGCTCTCTCACCCTCTTCTATCTGGTTATATATTGTATATGTATAGGTATACACTCTTCCATTTTCTCTCGGAAGTGAGAGAGCCATTCGTGTCCTCGAATCGAGTCCCGTATATATATATGTATACCAATCGGCTGTACAAAGTGCCAGTTGCCCGCGGGGTGAACATTGAACGCGATAGCCTTATGTTAAATGACTTATATTATAGAGCTTCACCACAAATTACTCTGCAATATTCCTTACATTGTTCATTCGTAAACTATTTATCTTGTATTTCATGAAAATATTAGAAAAAGCATTTAGCGGAAATCTAATGATTTTACTACAGGAATCAATATAAAATAAACATTTTGTTTTTTGTTTATAATTGCTTCCTCATAGAGGAAGGATTTTATTAGCAAAATTTTCGATTGTGATTTTTTGACATATTTATAAACTTATTTTCATTATACCTACTCTTTTAATACTTTATGTACGAATAGGCACTGCCCGTATAAATGTTAGAAATAAATAAAAATTTCGATGTAATTTGTTCTCAGAAAATTTTGTTGAATAATGTAAAAGTAACTTTAAAAGTATCATTACCAACTTGTAGATCATTAACAAACGCTTCGATTGACCTATATTTTTGAACCTGATTCGGTCAGAAATTATGAAATTATTGGTATTTGAAAAATCAAAAATTGTGGAAAATATCATTTTTTCAACATTCTTGTTTATTAACTTATGTGTAATTATTAAACTATTATTACCATCTTATAAATCTTGGTAAAAAAAAAACACATTTTTTGGACCAGGATTTAATGATTTTTAACCCTTTTACAAAAAGTAATTCTTATATTTCAATTATTATTATTTCTATGAGGAAGCAAAGTGTTCATGAAATGAACACCAAAATAATATAAATGTACAACTTGGCAGCGTTTGTTTTTCTCTTCTAATCTACAATATTGTTGCACCTGTTGTATTTTTATTCGTCAGCAGAACATAAAATTTTATGAATTTTATGTATTGCATTATTTTCGTACATTATTGAAAATTTAGAACCAAGAATCCACAAAAAATTATTTTTTCAAAATTTCTAATTTTTCAATTGTCAATATAACTTTGGCTAACATTTCCAAAAAATGAAAGTAATTATAATTTTGAGAAAAATTTTATTATAATTTTATTTTAAAATAATTGAATTCTTTTTAATATATATAAAACATTAGGTTTTTAGAATATTTGATAATTTTTTAGAAAAATATTTTATTTATGTTCATTCTATCAACTTATAAATAAATAACATTTTTCTTTACAAATCTATAATACATTCGTTGCACCTGTAGTTTTTCTATATTGGTCAACAGTATGTACATCAATACACTGATTAATAATAATAGTTTTTTCTTCCAATCTGTAAATTTTCTATTGGTTAACAGAACATGTATTCACTGATAAATAATATTTTTCTTTTCGAATATATGAACTTGTTGCACATGTAGTACTTCTATTCGTCAGCAGAACATAAGATTTAGAGATATTATAAATGTACAAAATTACGACCTAGTACGTTATTTATTATTTTCTTGAAATTTAAGTTAACTGATAAAATAACAGAAATAAAATTCTCAGCAAGGACCTTAACATACCGTAAATTTGTACATAAAAAAAATTTTTAATTAAAAAAAAAAATTAAAAAAAAAAAAAATTAAAATTTAAAATTTTTAAAAATTTTAAATTTTTACATATATCCATTATTTGTAGACATATTATAATAAAAAAAAATGTTCTTATCTAATCTGAAATTGTTACACCTGTAGTTTTTCTATTGATTAAAAGTACATCTATTCACGATAAATAATATATTTTTCTCCTAATCTTAATTCGTTACACCTGTTAATTTTATATTGGGTAACAGTACATAAAATTTTGAAATATTTTAAATAATATTCAACATGAACAGTATATAAGTTGGAGAATCGCGTATGATTTTTAAACGCTATTTTAAAGCCTTCTGTTACGTGACATTAAAGTTTGAAACAAAAAAGAAATAGTGAAGTTCGTCTGATTATTCCTGTGTATTACACATACGAATGAGTTTGACACCATAAGGCGGTAAGCATATATTATTTTAAAGATCAAATTAATATTTATTCCAATTATTTTATTAGTAATATTTACAGATTGTATTAGTGTTTGCGGTCGATTACATTTAAATATCAACTGGGAAAAGTAACTGTATATTCTTTAACAATCATGATAAGATTAGCAATAATCTGCTTCCTAATTTCGATGATCAGAAGCGAAGACTGTAACTTCAATATTAATGACGTATATGAATTAAGACAACTTTTCCATGATTCTGAACGTCGAATGGAAAGAGCAACTCGAGGTCAAAGTGGAAATGCGGCAATTGTCATAGGCAGTGCAAGAAGTGGCAAAAGTACATTAATTAATTACTTGATGGGAAATGCATTGATTGCTTATAATGAGAAACGTGAAATAAAAATAAAAAAAGCTAACAATAATGTCAGAGGACCAGAAATTGGTGCTGGATCAGTGTCAGTGACTACAATTCCCACAAAATGGAACTCAGAAAGGTCAGCATTACAGAATTTGGACTTCTGGGATACCGCTGGATTTGAGGACAATAGAGGTGAAAAGGAAGATATAAATAATGCCTTTCATATGTATCATTTGACAAAAAAGGTCGATTCTCTGAAACTTATTTTAGTAATCAGCTATAACGACATTACTAGTGGAAATATTAATCAGATTTTAACACTTTTAAAAACTGTAGGAGGATATTTTAATAACACGTTTGAAGATATTTTCCCAAGTATATCAGTAATTATCTCAAAAGCACCTAACCAAATTAATAATGGTTATCCAGTCGATTCTGAATTCCTCAATTATAAATTAAATACAAATTTATTATCAAGTTCAGAATTGGATATATCCGAAGTTTCAAAAGACTTTGTACGGCATATAATAAATAATAACCAACGTGTAGCCTTCTTCAGGAAAGTGAAAAAAGTAGGGAGAGTTACTTCTGACATCGATGATAATATTACTCAAGCTATTAATAACTGCGATAGCATAAGAAAGCCATCTCATCAGGATATAGGTTTCACATTTTCAGTCAAATCGAAACTTTGCCTGCAAAGGACTAATGATGATTTACTGAACATGAATGATTTTACAGATTTAACTTCAGTAGTGAATAAGAGGTACATTGAAAACCACAATGATTTGAACAGGACGTTAGATAGAAGTGTATTATTGCAAAAAAATTCCAGTTTTCAGCAAATCTACAGACGAATTAATATTTCTTCATTGGATAATTCTGATGCAAAGTTTAAAATTAAAATTCTGGAAGAGAGTGATAATATTATTAAAGACTTTATTACGAAGAAAAAATTAGAGAATAAAATCAGCCTAACTGAATTTATTGATAGCATAATTATGTCAGGAAAAATAAAAAGAATAAACATTTTATTGGAGGCTATTGTTGAAATACTATATGACAGATTATCATTATTAATTTCATTATGTCAACTTATGCTAAACAATATTGATAGAGTTGAATTTAACCGTAGAATGATAGAACTTAAAAGATCGCAAGAAGCAGCAGTTAGGAAGTTGGAAGAAAAAATACGAAATATAGAAATACCTGAAAAGGAGAAAAGCATTTGGGAAACAATATGGCAGTATATTTCTGGTGCACTGTCAAATCCAATAGTATTAGGATAAATGAAATAATTGTAGACTAAAAGAGATGTTGTCATTTACTGTATCTAAACAAACGTTATTTTACGTTGATATTAACCTGCGGTTTTATCATTTTTCAATTTTGCAGGATATAAATGTATAATTTTGTTAAAATTAATTTTGACTATTTTATTTTTACTCTGATATTAAATACAACTATTTGGCTTCAAGTTACACTGCGAGTTTTATTTATATGACTCTTGAATTAATTTTTTTTAAATAAATAAAAGATACACCCGAGTATACTCATCGGGTTAAAATGTAGGGAGGTTAAGAAAGAAATTCGATAATTTCAAAAAATAAATTTTTATTTTTATTTCCAATTTAGTTGGCATGTTTTGGTAATCATCAACCTTATTACAAATTCTTAAAAACCACATCATGTAATAATTTTTATTTGTTGAATATTTTGAATATTAGAAGCTTAAATGTGTATAAAGAATGACTCAAAGAATCCTTAGATAAAAGTAAAAATTATAGTCGTGAATGAAAAATAAGATTATTTCATGAGATTGACAATTTACTTAATAGAATACAATAATAATCGAAACGGATCCTCTAATTATGTATATTATATATACATAATTTATACACTAAAAGTAATTCATTACATTTATGTCATTGATAATTGGTCGCGTGGCCGGCACGTGACATTGCCAAATGGTGTGCGGTTGTGTAAACTAATAACAGGGCAAATGTTACTTTAAAATTCCATATTATAGTAAACATTAATAATACTTATTTTTTACCGGACAAGAGAAATATTCATTTTTCAGTTTATCGAACCTTGACACATTTTATAATTCGCAACAGCAATATGAATACGCACACGACTTCCGCTTTTATTTACAATGCACATTATTTTATATTTAGAGGCAACAATTGTTTAAGCATTAATTAAAAAAGTTTGGATGAAAATTGAAAAACAATATAGACAAATGACAATAATTGAAGAATAATAGTTTTTTCAATTAATGCTGTCATTTCTTTTGGATTTTTTAAATTTAAACTTAATTTTTATTATGTATGATGTAATGAAAAAATAAAAAAAAAATACTGTATAGATTTAATGTTAGTATTAAAAAAAAATTATGCTAATAAATTCAGACTAAAGCAAGTGCTACAATTTTATCTCATAAGTACATGTACGGTATAAAGTTGCATCTGCTCTTCAGGAAGTGTTTCTTTTTTCAAAAAAAAAAAAAAATTAATCTCGTCACGTCATTATTTCCATGATACGTTGATATTTAACGTGTGTAGCAATATTTTTACACACTTACACACGAGTATCTATCTATCTATACATGAGACCCGAAGAACAAGTTTTTGTTGTTTATCGCATATGAGAAACTTCCTTCTATACATTTGCTATAGCGGCTTATCACTCTTCCTTTTTATGCAATTCGCTTTAGTCAAACAGCTGTGTGTGGGAGAAGAAGCATTTTTGTTGTAATTGCAAAAAATTAAGAGAAAAAAAAAATGGGGAAAAAAAGGAAAAGTTTGAGAAAAAAAGAAGGGAATTCCTACAAAGAAGCAAAATATTCAAACCGAAGACGCTCGACACGTTTCTTTTTTATCCATTTTTTACTATACGCGTTATACACTCTCGTGTAACAGTAACTCCGATCCCACGCTCTTTTGCTCAACGTGACTGACCTACCACACTACACCTAATGCCATGTTCCAATCGTAAACCGAGAGTTTGTTATTTCTTTCATTCAATTTTTTCCTCTGCGTGTAGTTTTCAATAATTAATCTTTCTTGTTTTTTTTCTACAACCAGTGGATGCAAATATCATTAGTTGAAGTGATTATAGTTTGCAATTAAAGAGTTGCGACAAACATTTAATTTTGTTTTTCCCTAACATTTCCCTGATTTCCAGACAAAATTTTCATTTTTTCCCTGACCCTAAAGAATATTCTGATTCACTTAAAAAACGTTTACATAAATTCAATTATTTAAAAGAATGTAATAAAATTCGTTGCATGAATTCAATTATATTCATAAATTAAAAAATGTATGAATTTAATAAATTTATTTATTTATTAAATTTTAATACAATTTTAAATAAATTCCTCGAAAAATAAGATTATTTTCAATAATTTTCTGCAAAAATTCAATTACATTTTACAAATAATGCAATTCTTTGCTGAAATTCAAATATTTTCAAAATCTACTATATTTTAATAAAATTTCTCAAGAGAATTCAATTAATTAAAAAAAAAAAAATGTTATAAAATTTCTTGCAAGAATTAAATTATTTCCATAAATAGTAAAACTCAGGTCAGAATTTCAATTATTTAATAATTAAATTTTTTTTAGGACAATTTTAATCAAATTTCTCGAAAAATGTAAATATTCTGAAAGATTTTATTAAATTTCGCCAAAATTATTCAATTACATTCGAAAATTTAAAAAAATTCTCGTCAAAATTTCAATTATCATTATAAATAATAAAATTCTTCTCTGAAATTCAATTATTTCTAAAAATTTTAATAAAATCCTTTGCAAGAATTCAATTATTTTACAAGTTACAAAATTTTTCACATAAATTCAATTATTTAGAAAAATTTAATAAAATTGGTTGTATGAATTCAATCATTTTCATAAATAATAAAATTTTTCATTGAATTTCAATTTTTTTTAATACAATTTTAAATAAATTCCACGGAAAATATAATTATTTTCAAAAATTTTTTGCAATAATTCAATTACATTTCACAAATAATGAAATTCTTGGTTGAAATTGAAATATTTTTAAAATTTACTATTTTAATACGCAATTTCTTAAAAGAATTTAATTATTTTTAAAAAAGGTAATAAAATCCTTCGAAAGGATTCAATTATTTTAACAAGTAATAAAATGTTTCACATGAATTCAAATTATTTAAAAAAATGATAATAAAATTCGTTATAACTTATTTTCGTAGGATTTCAATTATACAATTTTTAAAAAAATTCCACGAAAAATATAATTATTTTAAAAAAATTTTTGCAATAATTTAATTACATTTCACAAATAATGAAATTCTTGGTTGAAATTCAATTTTTTTCAAAATCTACTATTTTAATAAAATTTCTCAAAAGAATTCAATTATTTAAAAAAAAATGTAATAAAATTATTTGCAAGAATTTAATTATTTTAAAAAAAGTTATAAAATTCGTTGCAAGAATTCAATTATTATTTTCATAAAAAATAAAATCCTTCACAGGATTTCAATTATTTAAAAAAATGTAATAAAAATTTCTAGCAAGAATTCAATTTATTATTCTTCTAAATAATTAAATTATTCACGGGATTTCAATTATTTTTAATACAATTTTAAATAAATTCTTCGAAAAGTGTAGGTAATTATTTTTAAAAATTTTATAAAAATTCAATTTACAATTTATTTTAATTTTTTTATTAATTTTTGCAAAAGTTCCTTGAGAATTTTTAAATATATTTTCTTACATTTCAATTTTACGAAATTTGGATTATTCGACAATTTTTAAATTAAATATTTAGAAAATAAAAACTTGAAATAACTTTTAAAAAAATTCAATTAAACTTTTTTCAAAAAAATTAATTCTGCAGAATTTTCAGTTAAAAGTATGAAAAATTCAAATTTTCAAAGATTTAAATTTAAAACCTTTTCAAAATTCAATCATTTCTAAAAAATGATTTGAAAATTGAAATTTTGCTAAGAATTTTATTAAAATTTTTTAAAATAATTGAATTTTGGTGAAGAATTTTAGTATTTTTAAAGATAATTGAAAGTTTTACGAGAATTTTATTATTTTTTAAAGATAATTGAAATTTTGACGAGGATTTTCTTTAAATTTTTGAACATAATTGAATTTCTGCGAAGAATTTTATTAAAATTTTTGAAATAATTGAATTTCTGCGAAGAATTTTATTATACTTTTGAAAATAATTGAATTTTCGTGAAGAATTTTATTATATTTAAATATAATTGAAATTTTGACGAGAATTTTTTTAAATTTTTGAACTTATAAATGAATTTCTGCGAATGATTTTATTATACTTTTAAAAATAATTGAATTTTGCTGAAGGATTTTATTATTTTTAAAGATAATTGAAATCTTGCCAAGAATTTTATTAAAATTTTTGAAAATAATTGAATTTTGATGAAAAATATTATTATTTTTAAAGATAATTGAAAGTTTTACGAGAATTTTATTATTTTTAAAGATAATTGAATTTTGGTGAAGAATTTTATTATTATTTTTAAAGATAGTTGAAATTTTGACGAGAATTTTTAAAAATTTTTTAACATAATTGAATTTTTGCGAAGGATTTTATTAAAATTTTTTAAAGTAATTGATTTTCTGCGAAGGATTTTATTATACTTTTGAAAATAATTGAATTTTGGTGAAGAATTTTATTATTTTTAAAGATAATTGAAATTTCGAGGAGAAAATTTTTAAATTTTTTAACATAATTGAATTTCTGCGAAGGATTTTATTATACTTTTGAAAATAATTGAATTTTCGTGAAGAATTTTATTATATTTAAAGATAATTGAAATTTTGACGAGAATTTTTAAAAATTTTTTTAACATAATTGAATTTCTGCGAAGGATTTTATTATACTTTTGAAAATAATTGAATTTTGGTGAAGAATTTTATTATATTTAAAGATAATTGAAATTTTGACGAGAATTTAAAAAAATTTTTTTAACATAATTGAATTTCTGCGAAGGATTTTATAATACTTTTGAAAGTAATTGAATATTTGCAATTATTTGTAACTTCTCCAAAATTCAATTTTTTCCAGCACTTTAATAAAAAAAATCCCTGACTTTTCAGTTTTCACTCAATTCCCTGATTTCTCTGACTTGTGGCAACCCAGAACTACTATCAGAAGCCTCGGATTCAAGCAACTATTGATACTTTTTTCATCATATACAAATAATTTATAGAGAAATTTTTTTTCGAATTGAAATAATCGTAAAATTAAATCAAGTCGTAAATAGGATGCGTTTTATTGTAATGTTCAAACTTATTCTCTAAACAGTGTGTTAACATATACATTTAAAGAAAAGGACGACAATGTAAACTGGGATACTGTATGACTAATGCTCTTATAATCTTGTTTTTTTATTTTTTTATTATTCACCCTTTTTTTTTATAGTGACTCCTGGGTCAGTCAATCGAAAAATAATTCCGATGAAACGAGTCACATACAGTTCTCTTTGGTGACGGTGGTCGTCGAGCGTTCTGTGCGCAGTTTTAAGGGCGTTCAGCTGTCCTTACATCACGTCCATTGTCCTGAGAATATTTATAGCCAAAGGATGACCAAACAATTTAGGTTTGGATTTCCATTTCCTGGTGGAAGAGCTTTGTAACAATCAAGTATGTGTAATAAACGACTACCCGAATTTTTATAGATATCTTTACGCGTGTCAATGAAATGCACCCGATTTTAGCTTGTTTACAAATTTTAATGTCTGGGGAGAGGGGAAGAGACAAAAATGCATCAACGAGCGGGAGAGTTCATTCATTTAAAAACGCTTACTGACTTTTATTTACTGGGGAAACTCCAATGCTCATTTGTAAACGATAAATTTACCTCTTCCCCTCCACGAGTATAAGTGATAAATAAATAAATTCACAACTTTGGGGAATTTACTCCTATTTTCTTTATTTTTACCTTTTCCTAATAGTTTATTGAATTTTTATTTCATTTTATTTTTTTATTTTATTAATTCAAATTTTTCTATTTTATTCCTTTTTTTAAAAAGTCTTCATCATTGTTAAATTAAAATAAATAATTTTTAATAGTCTTCATCATTGTTAAATTAAAATAAATAACCACTTACAATTAAATTTTTATTTTACTCTTTAAAAATTGTTCGATAAACATACAAAAAAAAATTTTTTTTTAATTGTTTGATAAAAAAGGAAAGGAAAAAAAAATTGCAACAGATTCTTCGTTAGGGAGGGAAAAAAATATGAATCCATTGAGTTTCCCGCGCCCTTAGCTTTCAATCTAAAATCATTCGTCTGTAAATGAAGTTAAATTGCTTTCTGACGCAAATCATTCGTGTCAAATCATTACACTTTTCGTCCTACCGCCATTATACCAGTATTTAATACAAAAGACCGCGAATTGATCATGCCTCAATGAATTCATAGAAATCGCGGCAACAATACACATACGTCGCTTATGGATACATATTTCAATAACGCTGTAGTAATTTTTGTCCTCTTCCTTTTCCCCATTTTTTTTTTTTTTGTCTTTCGTATCAAGTGGGTCAACAATAACTGCCAATCAAAATGCAACAACTATATTCAATTCCAGTCGTTTAAAGAAAAATATAATTATTAACAACTAAAATCAGAAAATACTATAACAACTACTACAACTTTAGAAAAATAAATATATTGTTCAAATGTTGCAGAATTATATGAAAACTGATAAAATAAAAATTAAATCTCTCTGTAACGACAAAAAAAATTTTTTTCACTGAATTAACCTTACTCCCCTCCCCCTTAATATTTCTGTACGGAATTTCTGCAAATATTTCACATGGTGAATTTTTTTTTATTAATTTTATACGAAAAAAAATTCTTAGCTGATAAAAAACTGTTAAATTGTTACCAACTCCAATATTGGAGTTGGTAACAATTTAACAGTTTTTTATCAGCTAAGGTTTTTTTTCTGTGTAAAATTAAAAAAATTGAAAATTGAAAAATATAAAAATAAGGAAATATTAAAAATTACAAAAAAACTGTTACCAATTTCAATTGGAGTTGGTAACAGTTTAACAGTTTTTTATCAGCTAAGGATTTTTTTCCGTGTAAAATTAATAAAAAAAAAATATAATAACCATACAGATGAAGTCGAAATGAATGTCAGTTTAATAATTTTAACCTGCATAGTTTTTCTATTGGGTAAGAGAAAATAAAATTTAGAGATAATTTTAATTATATTGAACATGGAAAATATATAAGTTGGTGAATCGTGTCAGATTTCTAAACGTTATTTCAAAGTCTTTCGTTACGTGACAATAATAAGTTTCAAACAAACAAAACAATATATTGAGATTCGTCCAATTTTTCCTGCATATCAAATATACGAATAAGTTTCACACCAAGACGGTAAAAATTTACAATATTAAAGATCAAAATACTTTTTCAAATATACACTACGAATTTTTATGCGATTTTATTAAAAAAAAATAAACTGACACAATCATACATTTTTAAAAATAATTTGATTTTTAATTGTTAATTGTTAAAATAAAAAGAAATTTTTTTCTATTGAAAGAAACAATGTATTAAATACAATATATTTAAATACTAGATTTAAAAAATAAATCTACTAAAGTCCTAATTCTTTAAATATTATATATAATAAACATTCTTATATTCATAACATATGTCAAATATCCAAATAATAATTTATAAACTGACACATTTAAAATTAAATAATTTTAAATAAATATAATAATATTTGATAAAAAAAAGGACAATATTTGAGTAAAAATTCCTGAAGTGTGACAGCAAATTTTGAGATTTACTTTATGTACTTGGTAATACATGAAAATGAAACATAATTATGAGATAATTAAATGCCAAGAAGGATTTTTCAAAAAAATTAAATTTCACTTAGTTATAAACAATTGAAGTTTATATACAGCTGTTGACGTAATTCTAAAGCCATTAGAAAAGAAACAAATTTTGTTCTACTATAAACAAGCGAGCTATTCATTTCTTAATTTAACTTAAATTAAAAGTTGCTTAAAATTATAAAAAAAATTTTTATTGTCGAAATATCGTTTTTTGTCCTCCATAAGTTTATTACTCATAAGATTTACGCAATATCGAGAAGAAACAATTTTTTTCCTAATATAAGAGAAGAAAAGCTATTAAAGTCATCATTTATTTGTTATTTGCATTAAAATAATAATAATAATAAAAAATCGAAATTCTAAAAAGTGCTTCCTTATGTTTCTTAAACATTTATTTTTGAGTGTGTGCCCAGCAGAAAAAAATGAATTAGTTTGCTCCTAATTGCAGGACACTAAATTTGAATTGTTTATAACTAAGAACAATTTACAGGGTTGCCACGCAACCTAGAAACCTGGAAAACCTGGAAATGTCAGGGAATTTTCTAAACCTTGAAAAAACCTGCAAAAGTCAGGGAATTTTGATCGGAATCCTGGAAAATTATTGTTTTCTAAAGTAATTGTGCTTATTCTTGAAATCTAATTATTCATAAATATTTCAAAATTAATTCAATTTTAATATAATTCAATTATTTTCGTAAATAATCAAATTTTTTAAACAGATACAATTATTTTTATAAATAATAATACTCATCGCAGAATTTAAATTATTTTTAATACAATTTTAATCGAGTTCATCGAAAAATGCAATTATTCTTAAAACTTTTATTTAAATTCGTCAAAGGAATTCAATTATTTAATAATTCGTGGTTAAAAATCTTCACAAGAATGTAATTATTTTCAATACAATTTTAATTAAGTTTGTTGAAATAATTTAATTATTTTTAAAAGTTCTTAATAAGTCTTCAAAACAAATCAATTCTTCTTAAAAATTTTAATAAAATTATTCCAAGAATTCAATTATTTGCAAAAGTTGTAACAAAATTCTTATCAAAAATTCAATTATCTTCAAAATAACAATTTTGTGCAAAAATCACATTATTTTCAAAAAATTTAATAAAATTCTTCGAAAGAATTCAATTATTTTCGTAATTCATAAATAACAAAATTCTTCGCAGAAATTCAATTAGGGTTAAAAGTTTATAAAAATTCTCTTCAAAATTTCATTTATCGTTATAAATAATAAAATTTTTCTCCAAAATTCAATTATTTTCAAAAATGTTTCAAAAATGTTAATAAAATTTTTTTGTCAAAATTTCAATTATTTTAAAAGCTTTTCTCAATTCAATCAAATTTTTTTACAGAGATTCAATTATTTTTAATACAATTTTAATTTAATTTTTTGAAAAATGAAATTATTCTTAAAAATGTTATTAAAATTCGTCAAAAGAAATTTAAATATTTTAAAATTTTGTTGATTATAAAATTCTTTATGAGAGTTGCATTTTAAAAAACATTTAATTCTTCAATAAATTATTTATTTGCATTTTATTTGTATTTAAATAATTGAATTCTCGTAGAATTTTCTAATAAAAATTGATTTAAATATGAATTTCAGTTAAAATTTTAGATAATAATTGAAAATTTAACTCTCTAAATTTGAATTAGTAAAAATGTTTTTTAATTTAAATTAGTGACTGACTTTTTGCTTTTCAATTAGCAGATTTTACTAATAAATAGTCGTTTCTACTAATTTAATAGTAGAATTTATTAATTCAAAAGTAAAAAGTCAGTCACTAATTACAATTATTTAATAAACATTTTTACAAATTCAAATTTATCAAAAAAGTATTATAGTGTGAATTTTTAGAAATAATTGAATTTTGAAAAGGTTTCAAATTACAATCTTTGAATGTTTGAATTTTTCATCATTTTAATTGAAAATTGTGTAGATTTAATTTTTTTTTAAGTTATTTGAAGTTTTTATTTTTTAATATATATTTGATTGAAGAATTTCCGAATAATCGATTAAATTTCATAAAAATTGAATTGCAAACAAAAGAATTTGGAAATTTTCAAAAATGATTAAAAATAATTAATTTAAAGAAGAATTTCAGTTAAAAATTCTCAAAAATAAAAATTGAATTGAAATGATGAAAATAATTTTGAAGAAGTACAATATTCTTTAGAATATAAAATAATGATTTTAGCAGTCAGTCATTTTTAATTATTATAAAACATGAAGATATTGATTGCTCGATTGAATGATCGATTTCTTCATGTTTTATAACAATTTTTTATAAATTGTTTAATTTCAGAAAGGTTTGAATTTGAAATTTTTGAAAATCTTAATTCTTATGGAAAAATTATAACTTAATTATTAAATTTTGTAACATATAAATGTAGTTTTAAAAACCTGGAAAAATTCCGTTTTTTAACCTGGAAAAGTCAGGGAATTTGAAATGAGCAAAAGCGTTGCAACCCTGAATTTAATTTTTTTTTAAATTCTTCTAGGCATTTAATTATTATCTCATAATTATGTTAAATTACCAAGTAAGTGGGGTTTAAATTTCGACTCAGGGAATCATCCATATATAAATGTCCGGTATGGCAAAGATTTTAACATAGACTATAGTCTCATTATTGTTCTATAGCCAATAACTTTGTATACTTTTCAGATCTTTGAATATCAACTGGGAAAAGTAACAATATATTTGTTAACAATCATGATAAGATTAGCAATAATCTGTTTTCTAATTTCCATGATCAAAAGCGAAAATTGTAACTTTGGCATTGATGATGTAATAAAATTGAGACAACTTTTCCATGATTCGGAACGTCGTATGGAAGAAGGAACTCGAGGTCAAAGTGGAAATGCGGCAATTGTCATAGGCGCACAAAGTAGTGGTAAAAGTACACTAATTAATTACTTAATGGGAAATGAATTGAAAGCTTATAAAGAGAAAGGTGAAATAAAAATAAGAAAAGCTGACAATAATGTCAGAGGACCAGAAATTGGTGCTGAATCAGTGTTAGTGCACTGAAAAAAAAAGTTCATTGAATCAAGTAAATGCATTTTCTTGACCTGATTTATTTGAAACAAACCCATATTTTCTTATTGGAAGAAATTTATTTTCTTGTGTCAAGTAATTTTGAGCATTGATCAAAGTTATTGGAATAAGAAAATATGGGTTTGACATAAGTAAATATCTTACAGTTTCAAACGAACTGTTTTACATGCGCCAAGTCTCGAAAAAGTATTGAATCAAGAATATCATGTTCTCACGTCAAGTAATTTACCTTGAGTCATTTGGTATCTTGAGTCAAATAATTTTTTTATTTCCTTTAAAGCAACTATTTATTTCATCCAACACCCATAGTCTTGAGCCAAGAAAATGGGAAGATTAATACAAGTTAATAATTGTTTCAACTCAATTAAAAATTATTTTGTTTCAAAGAAATATTCATTAATCTAAGCATTTCTTTTACTTGAAGCATTTCTATATTCTCATGTTTCAAAATCATTAATTTCTTGCGAGAATGTTATATTTTCTGGAATGAAATATTTTATTTATTCAATTCAATTAAGTGTAAGATCTTGAATTAAATCATTCTTTTGTTTCCTTTAAAAAAGTTTTTACTTAATTCAACGCTCATATAATCCTGATTCAAGAAAATACGAAGGTTAATATAAGTAAATATTTGTTTCAAGTTGATTAAAAATTATATTCAATTAATCCCATATTCATTTGAAGAAAGAAATTCATTTTCTTGTGTCAAGTAATTATTAGCATTGAACAGAATTCTTGAATTAACAATTTAGTATTTGGCAGAACTCAATATGTAATTATTTCAACCAAATATTTTACTTTTCCGAAGTACCAAAAAGTATTGAATCTAGAATATCATGTTCTTAAGCGAAATAATAAAGAATTGTCTGGAGAATTCATGTTTCTTGAATCGAATCATTTTATTTATTTGCTTTGAAACTTTTTTTTACTTAACACAATGCCGGTGTTCTTGATCCAAGAAAATATTTTTCTTCAAATGTATATGCAACTTAAATATCAGTTTTTGAAAACTGTCCATTGAGGCTAGGATGGCATAGTAGTAGCGTGACGGCTTCTGGTGCGTGCAACCCGAGTTCAATTCCTCCGACCGTGGAAAATTTTCTTTCAAGGTATATTTGTTGTATTTGTGTTAAGTAATAATTAAATGTAAATATATATGTAAAATAACAATTATTTAATTATTTAAATAAAAAATATAAATGTTAATTAATTAAATAATAAAAATGTTTGACCTAAGTATTAGAAAAGATGGGATGGGGGTAAGGGGGGGGGGGGGTAATTTAAGTAAATAATTTACTTGTATTGAGAAAGTATTTTTTTGATTGAAATCTATAAATTTTCTCAAATCAAGAAAATATTTTCTTGGACAGAGAACATACTTTCTTGATTTGATACATAAATGATTTTGAATTAATATATTCTGCATTTCTTACATGCTACTTAACTTCTTGATCGAATTCCATATTTTCTTGGATCAAGAATATCTGCGTTCTCTCACAAAATAAATGTTTTCTTCATTTAAATCTTGAATTACTTGAACGAACGTTACAAAAAATTGAATGAATCAAATAAAATAATTCAATTAACTATATATATTCTTAGAACAAGAAAATATTTTATTCATTTAATACATTTCATACTTCGTATAAGAAGACTAACTTCTTGGTCGAATTCCATATTTTCTTGGATCAAGAATATATGTTCTTCTCCCAAATATCCTATGTCAAGAAAATCGTTTTCTTGAATCAATACTTTAATAGTCTTGGCCGTATTCAATCCCACGATTTGCTTCAACCAAGAAAAATTTTCTTGGTTCAATACTTTTTTTTTTCAGTGTGACTACAATTCCCTCAGAATGGAGCTCAACGAGGCAAGAATTAAAGAATTTGGACATTTGGGATACTTTGGTTCATTGAAAATAGCGGCATATCCTCACTCGTTGACGCTCGTTCGGTTGTATTTAAACTTATTTGTTTTTACTTATTTGTTTTTATTTATTTTAGCTAAGTAAATATTTACTGGACATAAATATTTTAATTTTTAGTATATCAAATAAATAGTTATTTGTACCAAATACGAATTTTAAAATAAAATTATTAAAGTTTTGTATATAATTTTATTTAAAAATTTCAACAATAAAAAAAAATTGTTATTTAATTAAATTTCGTTAAATTAACTAGGAAATAATGAACAATTTTCATAGTCATGCCTCTAGGCTTCCTTATACTTTCTTCGGTATAAATATATATAAATATACAGAAGGAGCACGATAGTAATCGAGAAACATGAATATAGATTATAATAATAGTAATAATATATATTCTGACAGACAGTCTAAAATTCACTTTTATGCAATGTATCTCTCGTGAGAAACTGTAGCTCATGCAATCATAAAATGTTGAATTAGCATCACATCACATATAGTTTTATCACGAAGAGAATATTTATCTTTTATTATTTTTTTTCATTAATATTCAGGGTTGCCACAAATATTTAATTTGATTTTTTCCTGACTTTTCCCTGATTTCCAGACTTTTTCCTGACAGATTTTGACTTTTTCCCTGACCTTCAAGAATATTCTGATTCACTCTAAAAATTATTAGATACTGAAAAAAAAAATGTTCAATTACATTTATTTACAAATTTCATTAATTGTAAAATTATTCAAAAACATCAATAACTTCTTTTTTAAATAAATATTTAATCATTCTTATTTTTCCGTAGCAATTAAAATTCTTCAAAACATTCAAATTTAAACTTTTTTGAAATTCAACAACTCATAAGAATATTATTATAAAACATGAAGAAGGCGATCACTCCGAGTCGAAAACTCGGAGTGATCGCCTTCTTAATGGTTTCTAATAATTTAAATTACCATAAAATTTTTCAAACAAAAATTAATTATTTACAATAATCCTAATAAAATCCTTCGCAAAAAAACAATTATTTTTATAAGTATAGTAAAATTTCTCAAAAATTCAATTATTTAAAAAAAAATGTTATAAAATTCGTTGCCATAATTCAATTATTTTCATAAATGATAAATCGATTTTTCGGTAATTCATTTTTAAATAAATTTTTATTAGAAAATTCTACTAGAATTCAATTATTTAAATACAAAAAACACAATTTATTGAATAATTGCATGTTTCTTAAAATTAAATTCTCACAAAGAGTTTTATAAACAAATTTTGAAATAATTGAATTCTTTTGACGAATTTTAATAAAATTTTTAAGAATAGTTACATTTTTCAAGGAATTCGAATATATCAAAAATAATTAAAATCCTGCGATGAGTTTTATTATTTATGAAAATAATTAAAATGTTCCCAAGAATTTTATTAAAAATTTTCTAAAATATTTAAATTTCGGAGAAGAATTTTACAATTTATAAAGATAATTTAAATTTTGACAAGATTTTTTTTTTAAATTTTTGAACATAATTGAATTTTTGCGAAGAATTTTATTACTTTTGAAAATAATTTAATTCTTCCAACGAATTTTATAAAAATCTTTTTAAATACTTGATACATTTCTAAAAATTTTATGAATTTTAGTATATTAAATAATTGAATTCCTGTCAAAAATTTATTATTTATGAAAATAATTGAATTATTTCGAAGAAGTCTATTAAAAATTTTGTAAATAATTGAATTTATGTGAAATTTTGCCAAGAATTTTATTAAAATTTTTAAAAACAATTGAATTTCGAAGAAGAATTTTATTATTTATAAATAGATAATTGAAATTTTGACGAGAATTTTATTATTTATAAAGATAATTGATAAATTCTGCGAAGAATTTTTATAATTTTTGAAAATAATTGAATTTCTGGAATCTTTTTTTGTAACTTTTCCAAAATTCAATTTTTTTGTAGTATTTTTAACTAAAATTCTTCTATCAATCTAGTATTTATGAAAATTGTAAAAATTATTCATTAAATAATTCAATTTTTTCCAGTACTTTTACTAAAAATCCCTGACTTTTCCCTGATTTCCCTGACCAATTTTACTTTCCCTAATTTTTTCCTGAATTCCCTGACCTGTGGAAACCCTGATTATTCCATATTAATTTTTACAAATTTAAAAAATTAATTTTTTACATACAAGATTTAAGAAAAATATTTCAGTTACGTGGAGTGAATATGTTATACACCCGATTGTATAGTATAGGAAGCTGTTTTCTAAGGTCATGGGTGATGCAATTTTCCGTTAGACTATTTTTATCTCCATTAATTACAGATAACAATTTTTGTTATTCAATTTCAAACTTTGAATATAAATTCTAAATTTTTCGTATTTTATTTTTTCTATTTATTTCTTCACTTGCATTTTGTTTATAGAAACAAGGAATTAACAACAAGTTGGATTGTCAATTGAGACACAGACTGAAACAAAGGATCAATTGCAAAATTTTCTAGATTCCAGTTGTTTTTTTTTTTTTTTTTTTTTTTTTTTTGTTAGAGAAGAAAAATTTCTTTACATGAAAAGAAGAATTTGAAAATTTTCAAGAATATACTGAAGATATTGAACTCTCTATAGAGAGAAAGAGGTTTTATATTTGAAAATCGTTTATGGAAAAGCCGTTATCTATACACGTTACTCAAGCGTTTGTCACTATAAAAGTTGAAAGTATGTTAGGTATAGTTTCTAGAAGTGGAATCAACTATTACTCTGAGGTCAAGAGAGTCGGAGGCATTCGAGGTCAAGATAACCCAATTGCTTGCTGTATAAACTATCCGATCATTTCTATCCTTGATAATAATTAGACGCCAATTTGCTCCTTTATGAATCATTTTATTTCTTCATTTTGATTCTTTTATTCTAACTTTTTAAC